TTGGCCTTACCAGGAGAGATCCCACACCAGGGGTAATACCTACAGGTTCTGCCCTCTTCCACTCTCCTGCAGTTCCACTGGCCCACACCACAGGAACAGCTGCAGCTGCCACTTCAGTCGGGGCCTTGCTGCTGACAGGAGTTATTCCCTGCACAACAAGAGCTGCTGCTTGGACACATTGAGTTTCACCAATTACAGTTTAAATAGCCTCTGTTTTCCATTTCATTTCTGCCTCAAGTTTTTCAGGAAGTCTCTTCCTAGCACAGGTTTGGGTCAGTTTGGCAAATAGACCAACTGAGCAATTCCCCAATGTTTTCCCAGTTTCACCCCTGTCACACCAATCACGTTAACACTTCCAGTCCTTAATTCTCCCTCTATTGTGTTAAGGACTGAGGAAGTTGTACCTGTGTCTGAGCAGGACAAGTGCAAACCAAATGCTGGGGACTGGAACACACACCTGGCACTCCTAGAGCTATTATAATTGCATTCAAGAGAATATAGCCAATTGTACCATCACTGCTCATTTCTTCTGTGCCACAACAACATCATTCCAAGCCTCTCCCTGCCAACCCTACGCTTCTCCCAACAGCTCCAGGGGCACCAGAACCTGCCCTGAAGGCACAAAGGCTCCTTTTGGGAGCACCATGACCCACCCAGACTGTAGCACTGGAATTCCATCTCCTGGACAAGCTGGGAGAAGCAGGGAAGAAAACCAGGACCTTCCAGGTCAATTGGGGGCACCTCTTCATCCAACAGCAGCTCCAAGGAAGGTACTGAGTCAACACCTCACCAAAGACACAGGAAAACAAGTGCCAACACCTCGACAATCACTCCAGTTTTCAACTGATAAAAGCAACACTAAAGAAAAGCTTTTCAGACACTTGGGAAGAGTCCATCCCACTTTAACCAGTTTGTGGGACTCGTTCCCAGCCTCCTGAGGTTCATTTCCCACCTCACTGGGGCTGCAGAACACCTGGTTCTACACACACACACAGGGAGCTGCTGCTCCTGCATTCCAGTCTCCTGGTTCTCCTTGCAACTCCTCCAGCTGTTTGCCCAGCTCTCCAGTGCCCCTTCCTTTGCCCACTGCACTTGGTCACAGCCCCAGGGCTCCCAGGGCCACCCTGGGCTCTCCCCTGCCCTGACACTCAGGGACCTTTCCCAGCCTGACTCCATCCAGCACTGACCCAGCTGCTGCACCTGCAATTCTCCTGCTCCTGCCCTCCCTCTGCCTGCAAACACCCCTGCCAGCTCCTGCACCCCACCTCTTACCTCCCAGACAACAGGAGCTGCATCCTCCTGGATCCTCCAGCTGGATGCTGCTGGCTCTGGGCAGCTCCCACCCTTCAGCAGGGGATGCCAAAGGCAGCTCTGGGGACTGTCCCGAGGGCAGGGACACCCACTGTGGCTCACACCAACACTCAGCCATCTCAGGCCTGGGCTCTTCTGCCTGCAGGGCAACAAACAGCCAAGCAGGGACACTGGGACACTCCAAGGACACAGGGACAACACACTCAGCAGCCTGGCACACCACAGCCCCCAAACCTGCCCAGGCTCCAGCTGCTGCACAGACCTGTGGCCACACAGGACCCAAACCCACCCCCAGCACAGACAACCCTGGGCAGGTCAAGCTGCTCATTCCCCACCACAACCAAACATCCAGTGCCACTGTCTGCCAGCCCCTGCTCCCAGCAATCAATCATCTTTCCCATTTGCTTTCTCTACAGGTCCTTGCATTCACCTTCTACTATCAAACCATGAGGAGCAAACTCGGCTCTTACCTGGAACCAATCCAATTTGGCTTCCTAATTTTAAAGGATACTGACTTTGCCTTACCAGTACAGACTCTGGCTTAGGGGTAATACCTACAGGTTCTGCCCTCTTCCACTCTCCTGCAACTCCACTGGCCCACACCACAGGAACAATTGCAGCTGCCACTTCAGTCGGGACCTTGCTGCTGACAGGAGTTATTCCCTGCACAACAAGAGCTGCTGCTTTGACACATTTAGTTCCAGCAATTACAGTTTCAATATCCCCAGTTTTCAATTTCATTTCTGCCTCAACTTTTCTACTCAATCTCTTCCTAGCACAGGTTTGGGTGAGTTTGGCAAAGAGACAAACTGAGGAATTCCCCAACGTTTTCCCAATTTAACTCCTGTCACACCAGTCACATTTAACACTGCCAGCCCTTAATTCTCCCTCTACTGGGTTAAGGACTGAGGAAGTTGGACCTGTGTCTGAGCAGGACATGTGCAAACCAAATGCTGGGGACTGGAACACACACCTTGCACTCCTGTAGCTCTTACCATTACATTCAAGAGAAAACAGCCAATTGGACCATCACTGCTCGTTTCTTAATCCCAATCCCACACTTCCTTTGCACTTGGAGCACCACTTTTAGAACCCAATTACAGTCCAGTAGAGAGCTCCATGTCTAGCACAGACAGGTACACCTGGGATACTCTCAGCAATGCCTGAATCCAGTGCAGGGACCTTGCTTTGAACTCCCCAGGGCCGGGCACCCCGAGGATCTCCCCGAATAATCCTTTCGGTGCGCGCTGGAGTCCTCGGGGTGCCCCAACCCGGGGGGCACCAACAGCACTGTCCCTCCAGGGGGCCCAATTTGGTCCCAAAATGCAGGGGGATCTTGCCTGTGTCCCAGACTGGTCCGGGGATCTGAGGCCCTTCCCAAGAAAATCTCGGTGCCGGCGTGAAGGGCCAGAGATCCCTTGGAGCCACGGGAGAGCAGGCACAGAGTCCCTCCTGGGGGGCAATTCTGCTGCCTGAAATCAGCTCTTCAGAGAAACCTCTAAGACTCAGCTGGTGAGTTTTAGAAGCCAGGTATTCCTACACACTGTTAGATATTTTAAGAGCTTACTGACTGAAAACACATAAGGCTTTTATCATGGACATCTGAACTTTCACAGACAGCTCCTTTCCCCTTTCAGTACAAAATTATTTTCATAGTATCATTTAATAAGAAGTGCCCAGGAACCCCAGACCATGCTTTCCAGAACAGAAAATAAACAGAGGGAAGGACAAGTGTAACACACTCCAGAACAGACCTGACTTCAGTTTTACTCATTGTGTTCAAATACAGCAGACAAAAACTCCAGCAGGAGAGTGCTGGCACATTCCCAATGGTATCTTGAAAGTCCATCCTACATCTGCAGTAGGCAAGTTGGAGTCATAGAAGTCCCTTGTGCCTGCAGATGCCTGTGGATCCTCTCCATCCGCCTCGTGCTCTCCCAACAGGAGAAAGGGTGACCTCAGGGACACGGTGGCACTCGACATCCTGCTGAGAGAGCAAGGAAACCTTTTTTTTGCTAGAGAGCACAGCAACCCCCCTGTCCTTGCAAACTGCCTCCCTGCAAACAAGGAACCAGTTCTCCTGGACATTTCTCCAACACTCAAGGTCTTTTGAAGCTGCTCTCGTGGCACCAAACCTGCTCGGGGTCTCTCCCAGCTGTTGGCTCTCCGTGGAGTTAACAGGCACACACTCCATTCCCTCCTCCCCCAGCCAAACCCAATTCTCACCGGCAGGACGGGCCCTGCCCTTACCTGTCCAAGCTCCCAGCTCGGCACAGCCGTGGGGACAGAGCAGCTTCCCAAGGCAGCTCCCGCCCGGCAGGAAGCACAACTCGCCACACTCCACCAGCCGCTGGGCACGGACCTGAGCTGAGCCCCAGGGAGGGCACGGCTGGACAGAGAAGGAGCAAAGAGCATTAATGCAGCACCAAGAAACTCAGTGAAACCAGTCTTTGCCTCCTAACCCTGTACGGGGAAAGGGTTTGGAATTCCAAAGCAAAACCTGAGACACCCAGAGAGCAACAGCCCCGCAGCGCTGCCACGGCCCCCCCCGGTGGCACCCGGCAGGTAACGGGCTTACCCGGCCCCCGCTGCCCAGCACAAGGCGCCCCTAAACGCCCCCCGGCTCCCCCGGTCACAAACCCAGCGGCCAAGGCGCTCTCCCCTCCGCAGCCCGGGCAGCAGCGGGGCCGCACCCTCAGCCCTCACACGCAACCGCCCGCACCCGCCCCGCCGGCCCTTTATACCGCGGCCCGGCAGCGCTGCCCAATCAGCGCTCGAGCGCCGCCGCCCAATCCCAGCCCGCCCGGCCCTGCGGCCCCGCCCCGCCCGCTCACCCGGCCCCGCCCCTCGACGTGGCCCCGCCCCCGTTCCCTCAGCGCGGCTCCCGCCGGGGCCGGGGAAGGGCGGTGGGAGCTCCGCGGTCACGGCCCGGCCGGGAGCTCTCCCGGGACAAGGGGAGCGGGGCCTGCGGGGACAGCGGCCTTCTTGGGGACGGGCAGGGCGGGGCCGGACGGGCCGGCGCGAGCCAGGGGGGCGGGTCGAGGGGCGGGGCCGGGCGGGTCGAGGGGCGGGGCCGGACGGGCCTGGGGGCGGGCCTGGGGGCGGGCCTGGGGGCGGGCCTGGGGGCGGGCCTGGGCGGGTGGAGGGGCGGGGCCGGCGCGATCCCGCGGCGCTTCGCTCTGGGCTCTGGGGCTGCTCCGGGCGGGTTTTGGGGCACTGCGCACACCCTGCCCTGGTCACAGCCCCGCCCCAGCTCGCTGCGCTCCCCGCACCCCTCGCTCAGCTCCGCGGGGATTTGTGCCTCCTCCGAAGGTGGCAAATGTCCGCAAAGCCAGTCGGGAAGCCAGAGAGCTGCAGCCCCCGGGCCCCGCCGCGGCTTCCCCGCCCTCCCCCGGCCCCTCCCGCCCGTCCCGCCCCGCAGCGCCGCTCCCGCTGCCGCCCTCGAACCCAAGGAACGACCCCCGTGCCCCCAGCACAGGCCGGTCCCTCCCCGGCAGCCTCGGCAGCGCCGGGAGCGGCCGCAGCCCCCAACGCCGGGCGGGGCCGCGCGGGGCGGGGGCGGGTCCCGCGGCTGCGACCCCGCGGGGAAGGGACCCCCGGGCCGGCCCCGTCCGGCCCCGCCGCTGGCCCTGATCGGGCACCGACCCTCGCGCACAGTTTGAACATTAGAGAGCCAAGTTTAACCCAGAGCCTGCAAGCTCCCAAGTGCAGGGCATGGCCACAGACTCGTTATTTTCCTCTTTTTAATGACCGCGTTGCCAAAGTGGGGGAAACACAATCAGCATTACCTAAACAGCATCACAGCATCTCCAGGGCACGGAGGGACCGCCGAGAGGGGGCTGCCCTCGCCGGTGCCTGCTGCCGCCCACGAACCTGCCGCCCGCGCCCTACGCCGCCGATCGCCCCGCCCTGTCCCCACAGCGGGAAGCGGCGCGGCGAGACGGCGCTGCGGGCGCGGGGCGGGGATCCGGGTCGGGGCGGAGGTCAGGGAACAGGTAGGACGCCTCTCTGAAGCAAGGGGGGCCTCTCACCGCCATCTTTAGTGTGGTTTCGACTAAATTCCGGTCCTGGCGGCGCCATCTTTACTGTGGGTTAGGGACGAACTTCCGGGCTGGGGCCGCCATCTTTTTGTACGGCCTTGGAGGACTTCCGGTCCTGGCGCCGCCATCTTTCTTTCTGGGTAGCCTCGGACGACTTTCGGTCCGAGAGGGCGCCATCTTTGGTGGTGCGCCGTCGAAAACAGTCCGGTCGGTCTCTACTTCCGGTACCCGACTTTATCCGAATTAGCGTCCCTCGCTAATTTCTGCGCTTTCGCCCCAAAAATCTTCACGTTATTCCCCCCACGCACACCCTGGGAGAGACGGAAGACCACAAGTCCCGCCGGAATCGGCTCTTAAGTTGAGCGGGGAGCGCTGCAGCGGCACGAGAACCACTGCGCATGCGTCGCCGGTCCCCCTCCCGCCGCCCTTAATTACCGTGTCATCGCCGGCGTCTTGCCAAGGACTGCGCATGCGCCGGCGTCGCCACCTTGGCTGCCCCCCCCCCGACGTTCCGGCTCCCCTCTCTCACTGCGCGCGCCTCGCCCGCTGTTCCGGGGCCCCTCCCTGACGTTTCGCGGCTCCCCCTCCGCTTTTGCGGCTCCCTGGGGTTCCCCCACCCACGTTTTGGGGGCCCCTTCTCACAGTTTAGGGGTGACCCCCAAGTTACGGGGCGGAGGGCGGGGCCGGGGGGGCGGGGAGTAAACGGGGCACCCAAGAAGGGTTTTTGTTTCTCTTTTATTTAATTTTATTTCCTTTTTAGTTTTCTTGCCTTTTTTTTAACGTTCTTTTCTATTTTTTTCTTTATTTCGTTTATTTTTTGTTCTCTTTATTTTTCATTTTCTTTTCTTTCTCCTTTGGTTTTTATTTTTTTAGTTTTTATTCTTCCAGAGAGGGAAACACTGCAGCTCCTCTGGGCCAGAGAAAGGCTCCCCTGCCCTTCCCTTAAACACAACGCCTGCAATGAGTACCCTGCAAGCCCGCTCTGCTCCTGCCAGGCACTGGGGCTCACCCAGGGGGGCTTTGCCAGCACCCAATGGAAATTAAAATTACAGCCTGGGCAAAGGCACTTCCAGCAGGACCGCTCCTGGCCAAGGCCACCGGGCTGTGCAAGTCAGACCAGTGACCACCCGGGGGGGGGGGGATTTTCAGGGGGATACTTCCAGCTTTTATTCCCCAGAAACTCCAGTTCTTCCTGGCCCCGCTTGCTTCAGTCCTCCCCTGTTGGAAGAGGTCACACAGTCTTTCTGGGGGCCAGATTGCCAAAGCCCGGCCGGTCCATTCCCTCCACACCCCCGCGCTCAGGGGCCGAGGGGCAGCCCTGCCCCGCACAGACCCCGGGCTCGCCTTCAGCCCGTCTGTGCCAGGGCTGGAGCGATCCTGCCATCGGCCCGTGGCCACGAGGGGCACAGAAAGCCCAGGGCCAACAGCAGCTCCAGGCAGCTGCAGGCAGAGGTTATCCCTTCCCAGCTTTTTGGCAGTGGGGGGAAGGTGCCTTTCCCCGGCCGGCAGCGGCATCGTCCCCGCCGCAGAGCCCGCCCCGATCCTGGGCCGCCTTGGCGACAATTCCCCGTCCCAGCCCGCCTCCTGCAGAAAACTGTTCGGGTTGAATGCGTTCTTTGTTGTATTTTTAAATGTTTATTTTGTCGTTAAACTTCGTTATTATTCTCTCGAAAGCCCGGGGAAGGCGGCCACCCCCCCCCATCCCCACCGCACCCCCCGCCCCGGCCGGTCCCCGCCACTGCCCTGCCCGGCGGCCCCGAGCGCTGCAGCCCCGTGCCTGCAGAGAAGAAAGGGAGAGATTGGACATGGGGAAGACCTTCTTCCCTGGGAGGGTCGGGAGGTGCCCTGGCACAGCTTGCCCAGAGGAGCCGTGGCTGCCCCATCCCTGGAAGTGGCCAAGGCCAGGCTGGACGGGGCTCGGAGCCACCCGGCACAGCGGGGCTGTCCCTGCCTGGGGCAGGTGTCCCCGAACGAGAGCATCCTTGAGGGCTCCTCAGACCCAAACCACGCCAGGTTTCCGTGAGGATTCCCATGAGGATTCTGTGAGCTTTCCCTGCCGTTCGTTTGGCATCGCTTCCTCTCCAACTTCAAAAGGAATAATTTTTAAATTATCACGGAAAGAAAAGGGGGAGTGTAAAACATACAAGGATGACTCTTATATCCACCAAATCATTCGAATTGGAAGCCTATGACCTCACCTCTGCCCTCGTTACTGTTTCCTGGAAAACGCTACGATCCCGCAGTTTCGAAGACAGATCCACGGGAATGACCAGATTTGCTCTGACAGAGCTCGCGCCGGCCCCGCCCCCCGGCCCGCCCTGCCCGTCCCCAAGAAGGCCGCTGTCCCCGCAGGCCCCGCTCCCCTTGTCCCGGGAGAGCTCCCGGCCGGGCCGTGACCGCGGAGCTCCCACCGCCCTTCCCCGGCCCCGGCGGGAGCCGCGCTGAGGGAACGGGGGGCGGGGCCGCGCCGAGGGGCGGGGCCGGGGCCGCGCCGAGGGGCGGGGCCGGGCTGAGCGGGCGGGGCGGGGCCGCAGGGCCGGGCCGGCTGGGATTGGGCGGAGGCGCTCGAGCGCTGATTGGGCAGCGCTGCCGGGCCGCGGTATAAAGGGCCGGCGGGGCGGGTGCGGGCGGTTGCGTGTGAGGGCTGAGGGTGCGGCCCCGCTGCTGCCCGGGCTGCGGAGGGGAGAGCGCCTTGGCCGCTGGGTCTGTGACCGGGGGAGCCGGGGGGCGTTTAGGGGCGCCTTGTGCTGGGCAGTGGGGGCCGGGCTTTTTGTTGCTGCGTTAATGCTTCTTGCTCGCTCTGTGTCCATTTGCAGCCTGGCTCGTGGTTTCCCCTGGTGCGGAGGCGAGTTGTGCTTCCTGCGGGGAGAGAGAAGGGCCTTGGGAAGCTGCTCCATGAGCCACAGCTGTGCCCAGCCCGGCAGTCTGTCCAGGTAAGAGCAGGGCTTATACTGCCAGGGAGGAGCTGGGTTTGCTGTTGGAAGGTAGAATGTGCCCGTGCCTTTAAATGCAAGGACAGGCAGAAGCGGGGAGGGACCCTGAGCAGGTTTGGTGGCACGGCAGCAGTTTGAAAAGCCCTTGACTGTGGGAGAAGGGTCCAGGAAAAATGATTCCTGTTTTGCAGGGAGGCAGTCTGCAAGGACTGGGGGGTTGCTGTTGTGAGAAATAGAAACCCAATCGGGTAATTTCCAATCAGAATTTATTATATGATAAAAGCAAATTCAGCGCTGGGTGATCAGGGAAGGGGTTCAACAACTCCCAACGCCTGTCACACCCAAAGGAGACATTTGTTCTACATTTATTTCCAGCTACTACATGAATATTCATTATACATAAGTATAAACATTACACATCGTTAGGTACATGGGTATAAACATTACACATTGTTAAATGAGACTTTCAGCAGGTGTTCGCTTGTTATCTATACAAAGTTATAAATTTTAAGAAAGGTGCTCTTATCTAGCTAACTAAACAAAATTCTCTCACTATAAATCCTACACAAGGTAAAAGGGAGGTAACCTGTTTTATCTCTTTAAAGGGGCCCAATTAAGTTTTATGGCTTGTTTTTCTTTTCTCTTCCGGTCATAGTGACCTTACACTGTGTTCTCTTAATCAGCTCGAATCATTTTCTCAGTTTATCCCACTGTGCTCTCTAGCAAGACTACTGCCCTTGGGATGTGCAGGGTGAGGAAATGTTG